GAGTACGCACTCCTGCGTAAGCCGGCACCTGGTCCGGCGGCGATGGGCGAACCGCCGCAGTCGGCGGACGCCGATGCCGCCGCCGCTTTATGGACACACCATGGATGTGTCAGCGAAACTGGATTCATCAACAGTCAACCTTCTATGGCGGAGTTCATGACCGCCTTGCCGCAGCTTTCAGGAGATTCGGTTGTGGTACCTCGAGACGGAGGCGGTGGTCCGCTGAGTCCCGCGGTTTACCCACCGGGCGGCGGACCGCATTCACCGGGCGTCAATGTGCCCGAATATCCGTGGATGAAGGAAAAGAAAACCGCAAGGAAGAATTCGCAGCAAGGTAAGATCTCACTACCGAAATGTTTCTTCGCGTTGGTGGAAAGTTGACTCGTGGTGCTTGTGAATCACATGGTGTCGTGTTTTCGCTTCGATTAGCAAACCACTGAAATGCCTCTATACTGACCCCATGGTGAATAACGAACCTGTTTATAAGTTCAATTTTGTTTCGGTTTCACTGTGGAATCAGAGGCGAATGTAGCCCGCAGTGAAGTCATTATGGACATATGTGTGGGTGATTCTTTGGACTTTGCTAATTGTAGATCAGCAAAAGTGATACTGGCCTCTGACGTGTTATAGAGTTGCAAGAAAAAACTAACTTGTTCTTGTGATTTTAAATCAATATTGAAATCAAATCAGGCTTCAGCACTTTATAAAATCTTCGTGTTCAACATGTATTACCACAATATTATTCATTATTTTCCCATGTGTCATATTTCAAGCCAATATATTACCAAATAAAAATTTCTCTAACAAATGACCCGAAAGTCGTAAGGTTAACTTATGGACTAATTTTTCACCCGGCACACATTACGTAATATGTCACCCCATAAAATTCATGGCGCCCACGCCACTTCAAAGACCCGAACACGCCATGAAATATGCTCGGCAATGTTTATGGCCTGTTATCCAGTTTTATGACGATTTTATTGGCTACTGTAAATATAGTTGATACAGTCAATTAAAATTTCAATTGCTATTGAAATTGATATATAAACTGAATGGGATATTAAGATTTCTACAACAAATGTTCTGAATTTATTATAAATTGTATTAACGATAATTTATAAAAAAAATAAAAAAATTAACATTAAGTTTAACAAATAAACTTTTTTAAATTGAATTTATATTTTAAAGAATACAGTTAAAAAAAGCATTGATCAAATAAAAATTCCAATACATTCTATGAACGCTAAACGAAAATCTCCTTCGTAATGGTAAAAAGCCAAAAGAATTCCTTGGGTTTAATTTATGTGAAAACTTTTGAGTTTCGTTGTAACTTTTTATATTTAATTTTATGACTAAGCACTTTAAATGAATACTTTGAATAATAGAAACTTTTCGCGAAAAGATACTTTTCTGGCTTTTAATATTTTTTAAAAATCATTAAAACAATTTCAAGTGAACGACACACATGTAAATTATTGATAAATGTATTTTATTGTTTCTAATTTACCCAGAAGATAATGTATACCTAGATATTAGTAACCAGGTTAAATTGCAAAATGTAACCTTCTTGTCATATGTAATATCCAAATGTAATATCCAAATGATTTCTTTCCAATTGCATAATAATACAAACAATTTAATTACTATGAATCTATTTTTTTCAGTCAAATTTAATAGTATTTTAATAATTTAATAAATTATTTAAAAAAAAATAATTTTTAAGATCAATTAAATAATTCTACAAAGTTTAGTATAATTTATCAATAACAAAATTCAGAACAGTTACAAATTAAGGTTAGTAAATAATTGAAAAATATTATACTAAAATTGTAAACTAAATTAATGAGTCTTATTCTATTAGTATGTAGTATTTAAAAAAAAATATCTAAAAAATTTAATAGTACTTTTATAAAACAATATTATATTATATATTAAATAAATTTTGGAGGTCAAATGAAAAATACTTCAAAACTTAGAACCATTTATCAAAACACAAAATTTCAAGTTACAAATTAAAGTTAATTAGTTAACGATAAATGATTGTGCTGAATATTAATTAGCATTAAAATTGGCAACTAAATTAATCAGTAAATTAGTCAGAATATTACTTGCTATATTTTTTATTTCAAATTTGAATTGGATGAAGCTAGGGGCAGTATAAAAATATGGAATAAAAAACTAAAAAAATGCTAATATAAAATCTAAAAAAATATTTTTATATTTATTAAAAAAGTATTATTTGTCAGAGTATAAAATTAAAACTTTTACAAATTAAGGTTAATTAGTTAATAACTAAGAAAAGTGCTAAATATTAATGAATTATTTTTTCAGGATTAATCAATATGTTCATCATAATATTATTTGCAATAATTTATATTTCAAATTGCGATCGGATAAAATAGCTAAATCATTAATATAAAAGTTTAAAAACGCATTGTTGAGTGTGACATGAATGTTAAACGAAATTAAACAACTTATTTGTATATCTAAAACGCAATGAAATTGTTTAGCCAATTGTATATATGGCATTTTTCAAAAATCTTATTAGTATTTTTGAAAAATGTCATATATACAATTGGCTAAAAAACAATTTCAAATATTAAATTTAATCTCATCAGAATATTTTGTGCAATATTTTGTATTTTAACTTTCTATTGAGTGAAACAGCGGACGATACAAAAATATAAGAAAACCTAAGAAATAAGAATAAAAATACGATACTCGTATATTGTCAAAAACTTCGTTCGGCTATAAATGTTCAACAAATTTGAATACCATATTCAGAAATCAAAAGTAAAATAAAACCTTATTAGCAGGATAGGGCGAGGCACATAGATCCAATTTATCTTTGAACAATTATATTGTGAAAACCAAACCAATAATATCACAACAGATCACACGTATCCAACAAACAACTATTAGACCCCGAGCTAATTTATTATTGTAGAAATATGATTTTTTGCTGTTTTTTTAAAACTTGTCACCTGATTCTTTTTATCCCATTGGCGGGGTAGAATTGGGCGACCAGGGGACAAACAGGGCCGACGTCTTTTTTTCAATATTAAAGGAAATTTATGAAGAAATAGCTACACTATTCAACCAATGCAAAATATAAAGTTTATGGGCACTTTTTTACATTGTACATAACATTGATCTGGTATTTCGTCAGAAATATTCATCAGTAGAGTTATAATAATCATTATTTTATTTTGTATAAAATTGCTTTGTTTAACCTAATTTACTTTTTTATTTACTATTTTTTCATGTTTAAACCTTTGCCAGGGTAGAGGTTTAGTTGGACCCTTTTTATCCCACTCACGTGTGAGCTTTCATAGAAGTTATATAAAAAAAAAACTGCTGAATCTAACTTAAAACTAACAGAACATCTTATGAAATAATTAAATAACACATAGTTGAAAATTATATTAAAATCTCGTGAACTAAACAACAGTGCTCACAACCAAAAAAGCTAACAACGAATTGGTTTTTGTTATGGATTTTTAAACATTGCCGTTTATTTCTCGGTAGCGACTTAGTAAGAATCAAGGTGATAGCTGGTTATACAACTATTTACCTCTACTTCCAAAAATTGTTAAAAATTTTTAACTTAACTTGTTCCTGAGATGTCGTTGGTGGAGTTTTTTACTCGCGGACCTTTAAGCCCCGCTCTATCTTACTCAAAATTGGCTAGAAAAACAATCTCAGATATCAAAATTAAAATAGGGATGTTTCAAAATCAAGACCGTTTGTTCTGGGTTACGTGTGAGGACGCGACGCGGACGATCAATCGTCTACGCATCGGGAATCAATCAAGCCGCTGACAGATTAACTGCCGAAATTGGCATCACAACGCGATACATTATGATACATCGTCTACAAATGTGTAAACTTAACGTTTCCTACTATACACTAAAAGTCAGTGCACGGACCATGGGAAAGCACATCGGTTTAAGAAGACATAACATATAATTGACAATTCGTTGGAACCAGCTTGTTGATTTTCAGAGACAACGTGATATTCACACGAAATAAATACCCGAAGCTAAAGTGATATTTTTATTAAGTGATAAAAATTATATAACATTGTTTGACTCGTTTCTTATTAATTCAAAAAATAATTTGTATAAAATTGCACTATTAAGTAATAAAATGTGGAATATATAGTAAATATTTTTCATGTAGTTTACATATTATATAAATCAAACATCTTGAAATATAGTTTTTATAAAAACTCTGTATGTAACACAAGCATATTTTTTTTATAATAATCAGATTTTAAAACGTGCATTTTCATATAGGCGCATTGAAATATGATATATAGGCTAAATCTGCCACAAAACAGACCAATGTTATGGTAACGCTATGGTACGGTGCTTTTTTCATATAAAATGATAGTAAAAACTGTCAAAATGCTATGTATTTGCTGTGACCTAACCTAACCTAACTTAGAAAACGCGCAAACATCAAAAAATAATCTTATCATACATACATATTTGTGGTGTGTCATTTTAACATGCGAGAAGTTAGATTTTATGTGTAAAACGTTTGACTAAACAGCAACCACGTAGCTTTTTGGCAGTTGTAGTACCATTTTAAATGAAAAAGCAGCGTAACATAGCATTGCAATAAAATTGGTCTATTTTACGGCAGAATTGGCTCAATACTTTCAAAATGACATTAACTAATCAAGTGTATTAATTATATATAAGTGCTGAACATTTCACCTAAATTTGTCGTGGTCATCAAAAATGCTATTGCATTTTTTTTATAAATCGATAATGAAAGATCCTAATGTTTAAAAATCACAATTAGAAAACTTATCTAAAATTACGACCAATGAATTTGTCTCAGTTTTTAGAAAATTATTAGTTTCATTTTATCGTGTACCGATTTGCCATCTATAACATTTGTTTCACAAAATTTATTGAGTTTCATTGTAACAAAATTAATATTAATTGATGATTTAAATATGATTGGAACTTAAAAAATTACAAACTTACCGAATCCATACTATGATCCGAAAACTGCAGCAATAATTGACCTGCAAAAATAAAAAAATGAAATTTTACATATTCAAAATGATAATACTGTAAGCATTTCTATTGATCAATGTATCAGTAAAATGATAATATAAATACAATAAAATAATAACCAACATGAATAAATAATAATCAATATAAATATAAAATATTGACAAAATTTTGTCATAATGACAATGACCTCATTATATGTTTATTTTCATACTACCTGATTGACGTAACTATTTTTGTCTTTGATGTATGTAAGTATTTGTATACTTTTAGTATCGCGTGTTCAAAACGTTTAATTTAATATTGGATCTTTTACATAAAAATTGGAATTTTGATTCTTCTCAACTTCACTTCTTGATAAAATTGTGATTATGGATAAAATTTTCTTTCTTAATACCTACAACTATGTGATCGCAAATCACAAATGATAATATTTTAAATACTAATAATATGTTAGCAACAAAAACTATCTTGAAATATAGTCGGCAAAGGATATAATATAAAAGATAGTTCTTGTAAAGAAAATTTTATAAGACTTCAAAGTCCAAGAAGTACAGCATTGATTTTTAAAAATTAGAATAATGCTTAATATTTCTTGTTGAATATATTAAACTTCCTTTGCAATAATAATTAAATTATTTATAATAAATATAGTAGGTATACAATTTATCAAATTATTATCTGTCCCAACGTATTTCCTACCGACCTGTCGCTGCACATGCATCTGCTCATGAATAATATCCTCGAAGTTGAGAGCCGGAAAAATGGTGGAAAAATACTTTAGTGCACTCACAATAGATTTGCATAAGCTAAACTCAATATCTACAGACAAAGTTGTTAAATTTGTCAAAACAGTCAGTCAGAAATACGAGTGCTATTGACGTTCGTTCTTGTGCAGTGACGGATAGTTGAATACAAAGAAGCATGAGGCGGTTGATCGTGAAGACGACGGCTGGTGCAACATTTCCAACGTAGGAAAATAAAAAAAAATTAATCATTTCAATGAGAAATTTAATATTAAACTTCAACTTAATTTTAGTAAAAAAAAAACTAACTAAGCAACAAAAATTGTTAGTTTTCTACCGAAATCACTTCGGGGTCACCAATTATAGAGATTGAAATATTTTTCTCAAAAAGTTATTTTATGTACTTTCATGAAAGATGAATTTTCACAAATGTTTAGATAAATATTTTTGCATTCAAAAATCAATGATAATTATTTGATTTAGTAACTCATTTCTAGGCCTCCTTTAATAAAGCCGCTATACATAATTACCGAAAATTTAGAGATCATAATCCAGAATATGTAATTTACATCATCGATATATTTTCCATATTTGGTTTATTGAATTTTTGCAAGACATAAACTGATTAAAATCGATATTTAGCAATATTTTGGAACATGAAATGAAACCCTATGAAATCAAAAATTATTCCAATGTGAGAAATAACATATAAAATTATCACTCATTTGAATTTTATGTTAAAATGCACTTCGGTATTTGATGTTCCCTAACTCATTGATAAAATATAGTTAGCAAAATTGCTTAACTTTCATTATATTTTGCAATCAGGTGATAAACGGCCTCATTTGAAAATGTATAACAAAAGTATTTTCTTTTGTTGATAGTTTTTGTAATTGTGAGCACTATTGTTTAGTTTGCCAGACCTTAGTATAATTTTTAAGTATTGTTTTGTAAGATGTATTGTTAATTTTAAGTTAGATTTGACAGATATTCTTATATAACCTCTATAGTAGCTTACATGTGGATGGGGTAAAAAGGAGCAATTGAACTGCCAACCAGGCAAAGGTGCAAACACTAAAAAATCGTAAATAAAAATGTAAATACCGTTAAAAACGAATTGTACAAAAAATAAATTAAATTAACAGTTATTCCACCTCTGCTGATAAATATTTCTGACAAAGTACCGAATTCAATTTATATACAATGTTATTATTTCTAAATTGTGGGTTGAACATTGAAGCCTTTATTTTGTAAAAGTAAAATAATACATTGAATCTGTTTGGCCACTCGCTGTCCCATTTTATCCAGCATATTTGGTTTAAACAGTATAATAAGTTAAAGTTAAATTGGACCATTATGTTCTACCCTACTCTCCTCAACAATAAGCATCAGATCAGTAATGCAAGTCTCCTTCTCTTGAATTTAAATCAAATTTTTCATTCTAAAATTATTCGTACTGATCTCAAAAAGACAAAACAATCAATGATTAAATGAGTAGTTGGAAGTTATAAAAACAAACTAGATTTACAATTAAATTCAATAATAGGTGACATGGCCATTTGACATCAAAAGATTTAAATGACATTGACCACTAGACTCAAATACAAACTGTACTTAGTCTCAATTAAAATTACCAATATTTCATATAGTAAACTAAGATGATTTAGGTAGTATAAGTCACTTTCTTCAAAAAAATACTGGTATGCTGTATAATTTTTTTTATTCTGAAACCCTTCATAATGATCTCAAAATAAAGACAGTAGATGAAAGTCATATGAAAAGTTTAAAGAAGTAGTTGGAAGTCATATGAATGAAGTGGACTCACAATTGAATCCAATAATAGGTGACATCGCCATTTGATATCAGAAGATTTAAATGGCATTGACCAATATACTCAAATTTAACTTAGTCTCTACTTAAATTAACAATATTTCATACAGTCAGCTATGAAGATTTTAGACCTTTTTTCAGATGTCGCTGTTGAATATTGTCAATTTAGCTTCAGTATTCCTGCTTGCTAAAAATAAAATAGAGTTTATCAAAATTTAATCCAATTTTTTTTAACAACGAAAATATGAAAAATACCATAAATTCCTGCCATCAATACATGTTGTCATTTGTCCGCACTGTAGCATGTGACCAACCTAACGACCGTGCTCCGTTTACCGTCGCAGCAATGATATCAATTAATGAGGTGTCTTTCACAGACTAATTGCTGGTACTTGAGAACGTCAACGATTTAAAATTACAAATTCGCGCCCAGAACGAGACGATCCGCCGCCGACACGTTTTTTTGCTTTTCGAATATTAGAAAAGACAGGCTAATTTGCAAATGTTGAAGATAAATGAAATCCATCGTTTGTTGAAATGTATTGATAGCCAGTTAAGCCTCGTCCGTAGCCGCGGGTTTGCGCGTAACTCAGTCATTGGAGTTCCCAGAAGTTGCCGTGTGTGTATTTCGCCCAGTGCGAAATTATTTGCGAAAAGAATTACTTCACTGTACACTTCTTATATAATGTATTATAATTTATAATTCCAACTGACAAACTATCGCTGAAGAATAAAACAACACAACATAATTAACAAATCGATACGAGCGTTTTCAAATATTCTAAAATTATCACTACTTAAGAAGTATTGCTAACGAAGTTTTAAAGTATATATAGAAGTCAATGTAAGTACATGAACAAAGCTAATTAATAAAACACGTATAAATCGATCAACGATTGCTAGTTAAAGCCCGTGCTGTGCAATTACAATGTGAATGCTTCATAGCGAGTTACTAAAATAATATTTGCCTCAGCTGATAGTATTTATAATTTATACTTCTTGGAAGTTTTTTGATATTTATTTGAATGAACTGTACACATAATCAATATATTACACTGGAATATAATGGATACTATAAGTTATAACTCCAGCCTACTTTCGTTTGATGTGATTTTACGGTGGAGACTCAATTATGTAGGTCATCTATACTTTAATTCCCTGAAATATTAAATTTCTTATTAGTTGAAGCGGATTAAATTTCTACGGTTTTGTATATTTTTTTTTGAAACAAATTTATTATTACAAAAATAATTTATTACAAAAAAACTCGAATAGATGATTGCAACAATTTGATAAAATATAAATAAGAAAATACAAGCAAGAAATAAATAAAATAGAAAACAATTATTTATATACATATATATATATATATATATATATATATATATATATATATATAAACTTAACAAATAAACTGCTTTCAATATGATAGTAATGAACAACGTTTTTCTCATAACTTGCGTAATTAATTTATGATACAGTTCAAAATATAAATTTCACTAATTTCGAACTCAGTGCATTTCATAAAAATAATTATTCGCGATCAAGCCCAAGATTTATTAGTAAATTATTATGACATTGATAAACCGTACACATTTTTATTTAAAAATACATCAACGTCTCAGAATTTTGATGAATTTATTGACTACACAGTTTAATTAATTTTTGTGAAATGTGTTTTCTTGATATGATAAATTGTATATACAAATTGATATTCATTTGTTGAATATTTTCTAGGAAACTAAAATTTATTTCCAGCGATATCGAGGACGTAGCATGTGCAATAAAACCACATGCTACGTTTTGATGAATTCGAGCGCGGTCGCACCTGGCCTTGAACATATTAATCAAGGTGCTCCGTCGAAAAAAGATTTTAACTTTGAACGAATGCAATTTATTCGAAGCGGCAAACGCGGTTCTCTAAATGAAAAAAATGGACGAAAAAATATTCGAGCGGCAAATAACAAATCAAATTTGTCAATCGTCTGTTATGATTTTACAAATCGATCAATTTGACCCCTTGCTACTACGGTAGGCGCCTTACTTTGTTCATTGTTATCCCCTGCTGGGATTGTTTGAAAAAAAAATTGTTCAGTATGAATTGATCTTGACCTATAATTTATTTAAATATTTAATTTATTTGTTGATAATGAAAAGTAAATAGCTCCGTACACAAATAAATATACATAAATAGATATATACATTTATGTGTGGGCGGCCTGAGTGGACCATATTTACCACATTCATCACAATTTTTTTCTAAAATTGATACGAAATACATAGACTAGAGCAAGGCACAAAGGTTCAATTTGAATTCCAGCAATTATATTATGAAAACCAAACCAATTATATCACAGCAGGTAACACATATCTAACAAACAACTATCTGACTATGTTCAGTAAAACTCACAGCTAATTCATCAATGTAGAAATGTGT